AGAGGCTGAAACACCATGTCTGTTTTTAAAAATGCATTTAAATATTTCCAGGTGACACATTCTCTTAGGATATTCCCTCCTGAGTGGATGGAGTAAGGACGGCCAGTTCCCTCCAGCCCTCCGGCTGGCCATGTACTTCGGAGCCTTGTCTGTGAATTTGCGCCTGTGAGGCCAGGCCACGGGCGGGGCTTGGCCTCTCACGTGTGGCCGTGGCTCGCACGCACCCGGCGCCTTCCACCTCGCGTCATCGTGTCTAGATGTTATCTACCCACTTCCTCTTACTATAACCGGGGTTTCACTTGCATCCCAGTCTACTGCATTTTCATTATTAAAACGTCAGTGTTTACTGTTCACTGTTGAGCGACGGGATGCTAGGGCTGCCCTTGATTTCTGGAGCTATGATTTGCTTTCCTTATTTCCACACTCCCCAAAAGCCCTCCAAGCACACGCTGCAGGGGCTTGGGCCTCTCAAGTCTCCAGTCCTGGTTTCCTTGGTCATCACCCCCCGACCACAGCGCCCGCTCGGGCATCCAGGTCATTCTTGGCCACCAGCGGCTGTTCCATTCACCTGTTCCTGCTTCCTTCTCCTCCATCCCGAGTCACCCCCGTACTGTGATGGAACCCCCGTAGGCAGGCAGAGGTTTGAGGATCTTGCTCATGGAGCAGTTTCTCTGTCACCTCCCACCTCCCTGGGGCGCTGATACAGCCAAGGGTTCCAGGGTGAACCTCATTCAGCGCTTTGAAGACGTTGTCTCATTGGCTTCCATGTTTGCTAGAAATCACTGTGCGCAAGCTGTGCTGTTTTGTCTGTTGTTTTTTACTCCGTAAAGTGTAGGGCCGTTTTCAGGTCCCCAGTATTTTAAAACTGTACAATCAGGGGCTTTGGGGTGGGGGGGGAGGTTCCCTCACTGTGCAGGCGTTTTCTGGAGCTTTTAATCTGGAAATGTACAGTTCTGGAAAATGCCCTGTTATCATCATCATTGCCACCCTGCAGCGACGCCTTTCATGTTCTCCGCTGCTTTTCTGGAGATGGGCCTCCTCCCCTGGATTGAACCTTTGATCTTTCCCTCCTGGATTTTCCATCACTTGGCTTTCATTTTCTTCTTTTCTGTTGGAGATTTCAAGTTCGTCTTCAAACCCTTTGGGTTTTTCTGCCTGTGTTGTCTCCAGACCCTCTTGACTCTCCCTGCTGCCACAGGGAGAGCGCTGGGGGACAGGAGAGGGGACCCGCGGGCCAGGGTCTCGGCCGCCTGCTGCCGCCCTCCTCTCCCTCTGACTGGGTTGCCCGATGCTCAGGTTTCTGCTCTTCGGTTTCCTCGTCGGCACCCTGCCCCCCACCCCCACCCCCTCGGCCTCGCAGGTGCTTGGCTTTGTTCTCTGTGGAGTCGTCACTGTCCCTTCAACGGCTTCCATTTCCTGAGCTAGTTCTCGGAAATATTTGCAAATCATGTACGTGATATTTTCTTTGCCTTGTTCCCTTTCTGTTGTTTCCTTACGTGTCTTCTCCCATCGCCCATCTCTGGTGCAGTGATGGGATGGAGGTGGCCCACTTGGGACAGAGGGAGGAGGACTCAGAGATGGGCCAGGTGTGGGGTGAGGGAGGTGCGGGGGTCACAGTTCCCAGTCTCCCGGAGGAGAGACCACAGGACCCACTGCCCGGAGGAGGCCCCTTCTCTTGTGGTGTTAAGCTGAAATCTTGGGGGCCCCTGTGACTAGGAAAGCCCAGTGGAATGCTCACTGGACAAGGGACGGACCCAGGGGTGCAAAGCAACCTTCCGCGGAGCTCTGTGCCGCCCATGCTCTTGTGGCTGTTGAGTAGACTTGTTTCTGGCTGCTGTTGAGGAGAATTTGCTTTTCCTGACCAGCGTTTGCTGAGACCAGCATCCGGGGCTCACTCCCACCTGCGTGTTGTCACGCTCAGGCCGCGGCAGGTCTGGGGGGCAGGCCCGAGGGGGTGTCTGGGGCAAGTGCCCCCACAGGCTTTGCTCTGGTGCCTCGTCACCGGGCCCGGGGGTCCCCGCCAGCCCCTTGGGCACACTTGCTTCCCTTTGGTGGAGACTGTGCCGGACAGGGGAGTCCATCCTCGCCGGTCACAGACCTGGGGCCTCGCCGCGGCTGGAGGTTCTGTTCCCGTCCTGGAAGGGGCTAGCCCAAGGGTCATGGGGCTCTGGAAATCCAGAGTAACTCAGAGGACTCGGTTCTTCTTCTTGCTGGGTTTCCTCAGCATGGACCGGGCCTTCCCGTGACCAGTTGTGGTCACAGCCTCAGGGTTTCCCTTTTCAGTCATGCTTCCTCGCCGGGCCCAGATAAGTGCTGCTGCCCACGCCGACACCGCATGTGGTCAGTCGGGCATGGGGGTGGGGACCACAAGGTCTGTCTGGGCTGGGCGCTGGGGGGCAGGGTGGCGCCAAGACCCGAGGCCTCTCCCCTGCGGGCCCCCGGGCCTGCCTCCTCCCACCCCGGCCCCTCCTCCCCCTCGAATCCTCACGACACCTCCTCGGAGAACCACCGGTGGTCACCTGGGTTCACCCACCCGTGTGTGTGCAGGGGGCGGGGAGCGAGGCCTAACCATGATTTTTGCATGGGTGGCTCACGTGATTGGCTATAATTCTACTTGGATGAAGTTCTGTTAAAACAGGAAGTGGTTTTCCAGAAATCTTCCTTCTTGACAGAGTGGAGGGAGGAGGCTCGTGGTGGCATGGAGGAGGCAGGTCTTGGAGAGAAAGCGGCTCCTGACCTGCCTCCTGGGGTCTCCGGCTGTACCCCTGGGAGCAGCCGTGTTCGCCCTGACGCTCCTTTTGCCTTTGAGTCAGGCGTCTGCTCATTCATTACCCACCCTCACAGCTGCTCAGGAGCGAGCACCAGGCCTCGGTCCTTGCCCCCACCTGGGCCAGCTGCGTGGAGGCCCCTGTCCGGTCTTGTTTTCTGCAGGACAGGTAGTGGCCAGGCCTCGGTGCAGGCGCCGGCTCTTCCCCCAAGGCCGAGGAGCTTTTCTGGGCCAGAGCCTGCTCGGTGCTGGCTGTTCCCAGCCGGCTGCTCTGGCGTCTTTTTTTTTTTTTTTTTTAAAAGATTTTTTTTTTTTGGGACCCTCCTGGTGGCGCAGCGGGTTAAAGCACTGCACTGAGAATCTAAAGCCGCTTCTGCATGAGTTCGATTCCCGCCTGCCCCAGAGGTGACCACATGGTGTGGCAGACCTCTCCTGACCCGCCCGCTGCTCCCCTCAGCAGTGGAATTCGTCGATCTGCCTGTTCTGCTCCCCACTCTGTCTCTGGTGAAGCCTCTCACCACCCCTGAGCCTCTGGCCTGTACCCCAGCCTGTGTGCATAAATAAATAAATCTTTAAAAAAAAAAAAGATTTTTATTTTATTTGTACATGCAGAACTAGGGTACAGGCCAGTGGCGGTGAGAGGCTTCACCAGAGACAGAGTGGGGAGCAGAACAGGCAGATCGACGAAGCACACTGCTGAGGGGAGCAGCGGGCGGGTCAGGAGAGGTCTGCCGCGCCCTGTGGTCACCTCCGGGGCAGGCGGGGATCGAACTCATGCGGAAGCGGCTTTAGCTTCTCAGTGCTGTGCTTTAACCCGCTGCGCCACCAGGGAGGGCCCGCGCTCACTCTTACTTGAGCTTATATTTTGCTACCTGAAAAGAACACCTTGCCGGAAGGCCGGCAGCCGCACCGGCCAGGAGGGACTCATGGATCTCCCGGGCTTGGACTGAGCAGAAACGCAGCATTTGGGAGCCCAGAACTCTGCCTTGCAGCGGGCCCGTGGCCTCTCCCGGCCCCTGGGTGCTCATCAGGGAGCGGCGGGGCGGGGCTGGGTGCCCGGGACACCAAGGGCCCGGGGCCTGTGTCCCGAGCATGGTGGGAGCTCGAGAGCTCCCTGGAGGTGTGTGCATGCTTTAACTTAATTTTTTTTTTTTTACCGTAGTGAAGTACAGCTGACATAGATTTTTTGCCATTTTCACATTTTTCATTTTTGGCTTTTGTTGGTTTTTCACGTGAGCCTCTTTAAAGGTCTCAGGAGCATCGAGTATTTGTGATGGTGTAGAACCGTCTCTGCTCTCTCGTTCCCGAACTTCTTATCCCCTGTCAGGCGACAGCCACCCCCTGCCCCTCCCCAGCCCTGGGCAGGCCTCTCTCTGTCTGCCTCTCTGGATTTGCCTTTTCCGGACAGTCCTCTTGAATAGTGTCGTGTGGGGTGTGGCCTTTAGCCCCAGCCGCCTCGTGCCCAGGCTACAGGTGAGATTCTGACTTCATTTGCGTTGGCGGCAGGTTCTTGGAAAAGGTGACTTTAAGTTACACAGCATTGTTTGAAACCAATTTGACCACAGACGGATTGGTGTAAACAAGAGCAAAGTTCTTGCAGAATATTTCTGGTTAGAAAGCCTCACCGAAATTCTAAACACTTCCAGGATTAAGCAAGCATTTTGCTTATTGCAGTTTAGGGTCTCAGGTGACCAGCATCTCGGGGACACAGTGGACCCCACCCTGGACAGGATGCCCTTCACACACACCCACAGTCCCCCAACTGGAACACCTGAGACACCTGTGCCCCTCTTTGGGGTGTGAGAGGGACCTGGGGTCCCTGGAGGAAAATCCACACCTCCCCAACGTGGTGGCCCTGCTGGGAATCCATTCTTTTCTCACCAGTGTTACAATGAAATGATATTGAAGGAAACATTCTTTCAAGACCTGCTACAGTTCTTTCCTTTTTTATGACTGAGTAGTATTCCCACAAGTCCTTACTTTAGCAAATTCACCAGGTAGTCATGAGTTTGTACTAAATATCACTCACTCTGGGCCAGGAGTGGCCCTGTCATCATTTCAGAGTGGATATGGAAGCTGCAGGGTAGAAGCTGGGACTGGGCCCGTGAGCCCTCCCCGGTGGAGCCTGGCTCTGGAATGCCGAGGCAGGGCAGGGGAGTGGCTTTTCTTGCTGCAGTAGCTCGTCTGGGTCTGGACTAGAGCCAGATGACTAGCAGGCTCCGTGTCTCCCCAGATGCAGGAAAAGGCGAAGGACATCTACATGACCTTTCTGTCCAGCAAGGCCTCGTCACAAGTCAACGTCGAGGGGCAGTCCCGGCTCAATGAGAAGATACTGGAAGAACCGCACCCACTCATGTTCCAGAAACTCCAGGACCAGGTAACCTCACCTCCCTGCCTGCCCCTTGACTTATGCCCAGCTTGGAGGACATTAGGGGAACACTAAATGTCAGATGCTCTAGAAGCTGTCCCCTGGGCTGAGGTACGCTGGGGTACCATGGCTGGTGAAAGAGAGGAAGGAACGCCAGGCTCAGGGCACCCCGCCAGAGGGGCCTGCTTGGGACTGTTAGCTCGTGCTCTGCACACAGTTTGAACCAGGAGGGTAACTGGCCTTCTGGCCCAGATGAGAAGGGAGACCAGGCCTCTTCAGGGCGCCCACCCTGAGGAAAGATGTGAGAACTGCTGAAGGCTGGGGTTTTGTACGAACACCCAAACCTCATCCTCTGTCGGGTGGCCCAGTTCTGCGCGCTAGTTCCTGACGAGGCTCCTGGGTCGTAATGGAAAGGAGAACATTCGGCAGCAGATTCTATTTAAAGCAGGAAAAATTAGATTTATAAAATGGACTTCCACAGGGTAAACTTTAGTTTTCTGGCAAATTTGTGAGAAATGCCAGCAGTGCTAGGCTGAAGGATGGAAGTACACTCTGGAGGTTTGTTTAGACCTGAATTTGCAAACATGACTGCTCTGCTCTTGTGAAATGTTACATCCACGCTTGCAGAAGCGGAACACAGACAAAGAGCAAACTGCTGCCTTCCTGTCCTTCCTGAAGAAGCGAAGGCCTCCCTTGGCCCCTGGTGGAGACTGGCTTTGGCTTAGTTCTGCCTCTCTGGGAGGCGAAGCAGCCCGAGCCAGCTGCAGGCGTCCGCCCACCCCAGGGTTCCTTGTCGGATTCGCTGGCTCCAGGTGGACTGAGACTTTGCCTTTCTGAGAAGCAGGTGTGGCTGGGCTGGCAGTCTCGGCATTGCAGCATTGAGAAGGACAAGTCCAGTGTGTTGCTTGGCCTTGGTCAGCTGCAGTGATCAAAAAAAACTTAAAAAAAATTTTTTTTCTTTAATTGAAGAAAGTCTTCCTCTGTCCCTTCCTGCATCTGCTCAGTCTTGTAATGTGAGAGGCCAATGGGGTGTGGGGGGCTCCCCTACAGTGTGCTCAGCCCCGGGGCACACCCCCGCCTGCTGGGGCCTCATCTCTCCTTAGAACAAGTACAGATGAGAATCTGAGAAGTCAGGTGGGCGTTTTCCAGCTGGCACAGCGTAAAGTGCAAATTCTCAGGACTTTTGCGTCTGCTGTGGGCGTTCCGGGACCCAGTTGGCACGGAGATGCGCTGAGGGCCTCCTGGAGGTGGTGACTTTGAGCCATGGATTTGTGGAGGGCGGGAGCAGGAGGCACAATAGAACGGCCCAGCCCCGCGGGGTGTGGGAATATCCACCAGAGACAAGAACCCCCGGCAGGGGAGCAGGGGGCGGGTTCAGAGCCTGGACTGGAGCCCCGCGTTCTGCGAATTCTCAGTATGACATCTGCTTAGGGCCCCCACGATGCTCAAGACTGCCCTCTGTGCCTCACCCCATCTCATCTCCAGTGGCAACGAGCACCCCATTTTGCTAGTAGGAGAAGACTGAGGAGTTGTTAGCCCGAAGTCACCAGCACGGGGCTGGACTCACCTGTCCTTAGACCACACCCCGCCACTGCCATCACAGTCGGGCCAGGGGCAGCCTCCCTGCCCCTCAGCTTCCCGGGAGAGTGGCTGGAGCTGGGGCATCCGTAAGGCAGTGTGGTGCCAGCCGACTTTCTGGGGGAGCTGGGTGGGAGGGATGGAGCGCTGACGGTGACACCTCAGGCTCTCAGCAGCCAGGACCTCTGATGGGGCTCCGCAGGCCAGGCCGCTGGGCTCACAGACCGGAGGGTGAGCGGGCACAGCGTGGCGGGCACAGCGTGGCGGGAGTGGGCGTGGGTAGCGTGGAGGTGGCAGGGCACATTTTAAAGTCGCCTTTATCTGCTTGATTATAAGTCTTGCCCCACAAGAAACTTCAGAAGCCAAATAAAGACGAAACAACCGAAGTATCTTAACAGCCCGAGCTGCGAAGGCCCCTCAGTCCGCTTGATCTTTAGACTTTGCTTCTTTGCCTGTGAACTCACTGCATTGCGCACACGTTAGAGCAAACGCAGCACAGTGCGGCTCAAAATGGGAACCTCAGAAGAAATGCTGTTCGTGGGGGAACACGCTTTATTTCCTGTTGTTAAAAGACATTTGTTTCACTCATAGCAGGAGTATAATGGACCAGGCGAGAAAATAACAAAAATAATGAACAACCATATACCAGAGACATTCTGTGGGGGTGGAGTGGG